TTTCTTTCTTTCTTTCTTTCTTTCTTTCTTTCTTTCTTTCTTTCTTTCTTTCTTTCTTTCTTTCTTTCTTTCTTTCTTTCTTTCTTTCTTTCTTTTTTTGGAAAGATAATCATATATTTTAGATCCAACAAATTTAATGTGATTTAAACAGATTTTTCTGTTAAACCACAATTCATAAAGACTGCCTTTCATGCTTTTAGTGGGTAGCCTGTTTTGGAGGTAGTAAGCTGTTGAAATAGTTTCTCCCCACCCTTTTGATCCATCCCAGAGTCATAGCATAGTTCTGCACAGGTCCAACAAACAATGATTCTTTCTTTCTGCTAATCTATTTCATTCTAGTGTAAAGGTAACAGCTTTCTCATGAATAATTCCATTTTCTTTTCAATAATCACACACTTGTCCATTCCCACTATTCATTATTAGGATGCAAAATCTATGGCTTTCTTCCCAATTTATTTTCTATACAAGCAGCAAATTGTCTGGATTTGCTGAATACATCATTCTTATCTCTAATGAAATATAAACAGCAAAAATGAAATGCTTCATCCAATAATGAGGTACCAATTTCCTTCATTTGGCTCAGTGGGTAAGGAACAGAGGTCAATGTGGATTTTCTCACTGACTAAATATCACTCACTGTTGTGTTACATTTTCTACATTTTTCATGCTGGTATTTTTTGTTTGTGATACTTGAGGACATTTCCAATAAAACATGCAGAGCAGTGTTCACTGGCACAGCTACAGTTTGCAGTTTTGAAATTTACAGCCAATTCTTCTCTTTGTGTCTGCCTACTTTGCTCTATGTTCTGATGGCCTAGTTTTTAATGCCAAGATTCAGCACAATTTCTTCCTTTGCATTACTTAGCTAGCTTGACAAGCTCAGCTGGTTTTCTTTTATCAGAGGATGCACAATACCCTGGGGAATCCACTTGGAAAAGTCCAAATGTTTTTTATAATAATTCTATTAAATATTATCATTAAAAAGATAAAAACTAATGCAAACTAAAAAAATAAAAGAAAAATGAGAAAGTGCAGAAAAGAAGAAAAAAATAGAAAGAAAAACAGAAAAGAAAAAAATATATAGTAAAGAAAAAGAAACACATAAAGAAATTACTTCCCCCTTCATCACAAGTATAAACAGTTTCAGTAACTTAT